AACATATGCAGCTTGATGGCACTATCTTGAATGATATCTTTACAACATGGCGAGACATTCATTTAAGAATAGTGAAGTCAAAGCTCAAAAAGAGAGGTCAAGGTAAAAAAAATGTTGATACAGTTGCATAGCTCTCATCATTATCTATCAGCATATGAAGTTCGATAAAATTATTTGATGACACTACAGTATCTTGAGTGGTATCTTTAAAACTGCGCTGCACACTACTCAAATACTTTAAGAAAAATGAGGTCAAGGCCAAAGGAAAGTTCAAGGTCAAAAAATGTTGATGCAGTTGCATTGCCCTCAACAATATCTATCAGCCTATGAAGTTTAATAACAAAATATCTTGGATAGTTTCTTTGAAACTGAGCTTTGAACAAAGCTAAATGTAATGCACGACGGAAGGACGAAAGACGGACATAACAAACGCTATATTCCCCGGCCATATTCATGACGGGGCATAAAAATGTCTCGGTATGGTTTTTCTCTTATAATGCCTACAAATTGGAAGTTCATAATACAAAATTAAATAGCCAAGAAGCATTGATATTCTGACTTTTGATAAGGTCAAGGCCACGTGCATATGGTTTTAGTATATAGTAACCTTGGCCTAAACTCGTTTTGGTAAGCCATAAGGTCTTTGAGAAAAAAAAAGTCTGAACTTGATCGCAAGTGACACACAGCGCACCCCAAGACCATGAAACATTTAAAGCGTACAATATAAGTTATGTTCTCAATCACAAGCTAACAGTGATTCATTGAAATTTAAACAGTTTTTAGAAAAGTGAATTGGCATCGTTTAAGAGAGAGAGAGAGAGAGTATTTGAAACTAGGTGAATTTCATGAATCGTTCATGGAGTTTCCCTTGTTTTTTTAAAAACACTGAAATTTTTTTTATTTGTCGATTTTTCACAAAATATTGCTATATTTTTGAACCATGTTACTGAGTATTAAATAAATGAGGCATTCATTCAGAAACCGAATGTTGTTTTTGTACATTCTAGGGTATGGGTATTTGCGTTGCCTAACACCCCCATATACTTCGTAATTACGTGCATTACAAAATTAAAATTAAACATATTGGGTTTTATTGAAGATTTGTCATGTAAGGATCTTCAGTGTGAAAACGGTGGATTGTGCTTTATGTCAAATGGAAAACCTTCCTGTCGATGTAAAAAAGGATACACGGGCGTCTCATGTGAACATAAAAGACCAAGTAAGACCATTTAATTTTCTTATATGATAATATTTGTATTTGTATATCGAGCTGTCCAGATTTAATTGTTTAAATCGATTTAGGATCATGCAAAGATATTATTCTGAGCAATCCCAACAGAAGAATGGGAGAGTACAGAATTTACACAGATGATGGAAAAAGCTTTTTTGTCTTCTGCGAATTTACGGGATCACGTGGCTATACATACATTAAGGACTTTCCAGGAAATTCTCTCCGTCTAAAAAACATTTTATCAAACACAGATGAAATCAAAATCCTTCATCTCCGGACCTCCGGCAAAAGATACAGCACAATAATGGAAGAACTTGTTATAATCAATTCATCCGAAAGTGGATTGACGTCTCTACAAGATATTATCCTAGTATTCCTTCCAGCTACTTTAAAGTTTTTGAGATGCATATGGGAGGGTGTGGAGGATATGTCGTCCCCGGTTTTAGGTCCTTTTCTGATATTGTAGGTGCTGTGCCTGGATTTCGTTTTGGTAAGCTGCTAATATAAGTCTAACCAATTAAAATACTCTAAAATCATTTAAACGATTTATAACACTAAGTAAAGGTCTTAGTAATTTCTGTTTTGAGATTTTTCATGTGCTGATTTACAATGTGGAAACGGTGGATCATGTTTGACGAAAAGAGGAAGACCTGTCTGCTCATGTGGTCCAGGGTACATTGGACTTCAATGTGAAGTCAAAGTTGCTTGTAAGTTTGATCTGAAGCGATGTATTCTAGCATTTGATTCCTTCATAAAAGTTTATTGTGTTGAGGGTATTCATTTTTCTTTTAGCTCAAGTGAGCTTTTCTGTCCATTCACCCGTTTGTTACCTTTTCACATTTTCAACTTCTTCTAAAGAATGACAGGCCTGGTGTTTCCCACAAATTCGAATAAAAAAATCCTTAGGCAAAGGAAAGGTTCAGTTGTAAAAACGAGAGATAAAGTTCCCTTACAAGGGGAGAATTAAAAAAAAAATTTTAAAGACAAAAATATGTCAGAAAAGCAAAACTTAAGTTGAATAATCCTGAGGTAATGTATACTCTGCATTTTTTCAAATCATGACCCCAGGGAGTAAGGTGGGGCTACAATGGGTGATGATTATTCATATAACGTAGGCATCCTCTGGTAGTGTAGATTCAAGCTTGTTCAGATCTTGACCTTCCCCTGTATCATTTTTTAATTGAAACTTTCACAATGACTGATTTCTGCTTTTTCCTAGCCAAAGGTCGCCCAAGTGGCAAAGTGGTTAGAGCGTCTTCTCTGAAGTCGCATAGTACGGAGTTGATCCTTACGTCGCCGGTTCGAATCCCACTGTGGGACTTTCAGAGCGATCCTTCGGATGAAACTGTATAAACCGAGGTCCCGTGTCGCAGAAGGTGCTGGCACGAAAAGGATCCATCCCTGCTCAATGACCCTAAGTGCTGTGCATAGGACAAAATTTGCAGCTCTCCACCGGCAAGTGATGGCGTCTCCATATGAGTGAAAAATTCTCAAGATGGACGTTTAACCGTCAGTTAAAACAACATACAATCAATCAACCAAGCCTAGTCAAAGTGCTTAGGTGAGCAATGTGGCCCATGGGCCTCTGTTTTTTCTTTCTCTGATAGGTTCGTTCTTATGAAAACATTCTCTCTTCCGTGTTTTTCTTCAGATTCCTGTAAAGACATTGCTTTCTCTAGAGGTAAACCTACTGGAGAATACAAGATTTACAACAGACAAAACCAGCCCTATAAAGTGCTCTGTGAATTTCATCAGACCTTTGGTTACACGTTTGTATCAAACACGAATATGGCCATCAACGTCGACGATTTGTTCGAAATCCGATCTCAAGTGTTGGTCCGACATTTGCAACAAGGTCAACAATACGACTCAAATCTGCAGCAGATATCCTATTATAAGAACAAGCCTTTGACAGTTAAGTACAACACAAATGCTGGATTCAACACTCCGGTAAACGCCAAACAGATGGGTCCATATCTTTACCTTGGCTTCTTGGACGCAAGTACAGCAAGATCCAGGTCGACACAAGGCTACAGCGTAAATAACGCCGACCAAACCTTTCGTAACTGTGATGCCAATCCTAACAGTTACATGGCTTTCTATTTCAACAAGGGAAATAAGTCTCCTGTTGGATACTATAAGAAGTGTTGTTACACGCCATTGATGAAGAAATGGATTGACATAGGGGTACCTGTAAATCGGGCTAATCAACTTCCACAGTCATACTTTCTTCAATTTGAGATGCACATGGGGGGTTGTGGAGGATATGTGGTGAGCGGATACAATACACTTGCAAGTATCCGCGGTGCTTCTCTGGGAATGCGTTTTGGTGAGTAACTTTCAAAAACCTTTTTCAACTGAATTTTCAATAATGAACATGTAATTTACATTGAATTTCTTTTCAGAATTATGAAGTTATGAAACGGAGCGGGAGAAAGAAAACAAAAGATGAGATAAAAAATAATTTTAATATGAGTATCAATATACAGTTTTCGTAATAAAAACTGATATTTCTTATATTCTGTGTTGTAATGTTGTAGCACTTTTTCACTATACATATATATCCAGCTTTTAACGAATGTATAAAATATACATGTACATAATATAAAAATATAAAATAATGTATAAAAATAATATAAAATATGTTGATCTATCATCAACATATAAATAGAGACCAAGTGTTTTTAAGTCTTTATAATTTCATCCAAAAAACTTGCTGCTCAGAACCTATAGGAATTTTTGAAAAGCGTTCAGTTCCTGCATGTCCTACAGAAAGACAAGGAATTTTAAAAATTAATCCCAATTCAATTTTGTTTGTAATCACTGTGAATTAGAAAGTTATATTCTAAAATCATATCCTTTTTTCAGATTGTGCAAAGAAGGTAAAATTACAATTGACTTATGCAATTATCATTTAATTCTTAATTAGAATTTACTTGTTTCATTTCCATTTTGACATTTTACAACAGGAGATGCTCTAAAATCGCTGACATAAATCAGATCCAATGACTCTAGACATAGTATGTCACACGTTTTTTTTTTCACTGACTTCCAAAAATCCGGGTCTCTATATATGAAAATGTACACGGGATTCTGACATGGATTTACAGAATTTGCATGCCCATAAGACGAACATCGCACGCCTTTCTGGCACGCCTGAAAATTTTTTGCGAGGATTTTTTTTACGTGAGATTACACTAATTAAGCCTATTTTTCACATTAATATTTCTATTTCAAACTTTTATCTCCAATCCTGGCCTCGACCTGCCCATAGGGACCATGATTTTAACAAAACTTGAAACTATTCACGAAGATTTCAAAGACGTAGGCGACAGGTCATCAAATAAGCTTACTGAACCTTTGGTAAGGTGAGATTAATATTTGGGTTTCCACCGATACAGTTAAAATATGAAAGGAAAGGTTCAAGATTTCGAAAAGAAATCTTGAACATTTTTTTCAGAAGACATAAAACATTCTTATGATTCAGAGACATAGATTCTTCCCCCTTGGCGGAGCAGAACTTTTAATTACCTGTATTTTAAGGACATGACACTTTAAAAAGTTAATAAAGATACATGTTGTTGTTTCACATTTTACGGGCTTTATTATTGTTTTGATATTCCTTTAAAGCCATATAAGAAAGCATGTACATATGAAAACATATTAGTATATTTATTCAAATACACACCTTCTCTCATACATCATTTTCACTGAATACACTGCACTTCCTATTAAGTGAATGAATCATTAATGTAAATGAAAAACATGTCCAGAAAGTATATAAGAGCTCTTTGGGAATTTCAATTTTTAAAATATTGTTTTTAATAAAAATAAAATATGGATACTAGTATTTTGGGAGAATATATTCTTAAAAAGGTCATATTTCTAAAAATATCGATGATTAAAAAACAAAACAAAACAATGACATAACTGATGAAATCGCATTTTTGATGCTACTTGTTCTTGCATTTTAAATAAATGTTAGATATTCTTCTAGACACTTAGACACCCCTACGGATTTTAAGAAAACAAGATTCTTAAAAACATACCAGTTTTCAACCAATCCTTGTGATAAATTTTTATGTATGTGTTCATTCAAGCTACTAGTTTTTGTGATAGGTTGTTTGTTTGTCAATGTGAGTGCTTCTTGAAATAAACAGAATGTTTTGCTGCATCTTTACAAATACTTCAATTTATAATTTGTCATGTTAAGACGTGCAAAACAATATTATTACATCCGTAAGAATGCGTCAGTGGCAAAGTGGGGACGCCTTAAAATGAAACGACAGAAGTCGAAAAAGAATAATTTCAAAATAGTAATTCTTAATGGAAAACCCCACCTTTGGTGTTTTAAGACAAGAGGCCCATGGGCCTTATAGGTCACCTGAGCATTATGCAACAACTTTCCAGTTATTGAATTTGATTCATGTTTTAAGCCAGATGCTATGGCATTCACAATTTTGAAAGACGCACCATTGATAATCATAACAATACACTCAGCAGTTGCTTAGCTCGGTTACTTAATACCCATAAGCAGGGTAGGGGAACAAAAAATGCATTTCAACTTATCAAAAATATTCAGCAATACCGGTAATTAATAGTGCCCTTACCACATGTACCCCTGATCCTTAGGCCTAGATCCACACACTGGACAAATTTTGAAAAGGAGCAGATTTCAAACAATTCATTCATTTTTAGTACATAAATACAGCCCCCCCTCTATGGTACCCCTGACCCTAAAGCCTTGAAATTCACAGTTCCGGATGATTAGTACCCTTGCTCATCATAACTATATTAAGGTAATTTATCTGCTTCGTACCCAGAGAAAAATTTTTTCAAAGATTTAATGTAATTTTTCACTGCATAATCATTATAGAGCCCCGCCCTAAGACCAGAACCCCTGGTCCTGGGGCCATAAAATTCACAATTTTGGTAGAGGCATTCTTGCTTATCATAACTATGTACTTAGTTAGTTTATTTAATACCCAGGAGCAGAGAAAAAGATTTTCAAATAATTCATGTATTTTCACTATATAATCAATAGAGCCCTGCCCTAACACCAGAATCCCTGACCCTGGGGCCATAAAATTCACATTTTTGGTAGAGGCATTCTTGCTCATCATATTTATGCACTAATTTAGTTTATTTAATACCCAGGAGCAGAGAAGATGATTTTCAAAGTAATAAAGCATTTTCACTATATAATCTATAGAGCCCCGCCCTAACACTAGAACCCCTGACCCTGGGGCCATAAAATTCACAATTTTGGTAGAGGCATTCTTGCTCATCATATTTATGCACTAATTTAGTTTATTTAATACTGAGGAGCAGAGAAAAAGATTTTCAAAGAATTCATGTATTTTCACTATATAATCTATAGAGCCCCGCCCTAACACCAATAACCCTGACCCTGGGGCCATAAAATTCACAATTTTGGTAGAGGCATTCTTGCTCATCATATTTATGCACTTAGTTAGTTTATTTAATACCCAGGAGCAGAGAAGATGATTTTCAAAGTAATAAAGCATTTTCACTATATAATCTATAGAGCCCCGCCCTAACACTAGAACCCCTGACCCTGGGGCCATAAAATTCACAATTTCGGTAGAGGCACTCTTGCTCATCATATTTATGCACTAATTTAGTTTATTTAATACTGAGGAGCAGAGAAAAAGATTTTCAAAGAATTCATGTATTTTCACTATATAATCTATAGAGCCCTGCCCTAACACCAGAAACCCTGACCCTGGGGCCATAAAAATCACAATTTTGGTAGAGGCACTCTTTCTCATCATAACTATGCACTTATTTAGTTTATTTAATACCCAGAAGCAGAGAAGAAGATTTTCAAAGAAATAATGCATTTTCACTATATAATCTATAGAGCCCCGCCCTAACACTAGAACCCCCGACCCTGGGGCCATTAAATTCACAATTTTGGTAGAGGCACTCTTGCTCATCATATTTATACACTAATTTAGTTTATTTAATACCCAGGAGCAGAGAAGATGATTTTCAAAGAAATAAAGCATTTTCACTATATAATCTATAGAGCCCCGCCCTAACACTAGAACCCCTGACCCTGGGGCCATAAAATTCACAATTTTGGTAGAGGCACTCTTTCTCATCATAACTATGCACTTAGTTAGTTTATTTAATACCCAGAAGCAGAGAAGAAGATTTTCAAAGAAATAATGCATTTTCACTATATACTTATTTAGCCCCGCCCTAGCACTAGAACTCCTGACCCTGGGGCCATGAATTTCACAATTTTGGTAGAGGACTCAAAGCTTATTACAATCATGCAAACAGTTTGCCTGCTTGATGTCCAGGAGTAAAGAAGAAGATTTTTAAAGATTGCATTAATTTTAGTGGTTTTGGTCCCACCCCTCAGGCCCCAGGGGGGCAGGGATATGAAATTCACAATTTTTGTTCCCCTTCACCCATAGATGCTTTGTGCCAAATTTGGTTGAAATTGGTTCAGTGGTTGCAGAGAAGAAGCTGAAAATGTTCAAATGTTAACGGACGACGCACGACGCACGACGACGGACAAACGGATAGCAATAGGTCACCTGAGTTTACTCAGGTGA